GTAATATAATAAGTAAGCAGTAGCCCTGTTTTTAGGAGTGACCTCGTGGTCTGGGAATACTGAGACCCAGCCATGAGCTCACTCTTTTCGCATGTAATTAAGCTAATCTGAGCATTTTGGTCAAAGCCGGAAACAGTAACGTTTTTGTCGACCCGATGTTGAAAGTACCACACTAAAAACTGGCTTTGGCAGAGACGGTTAAAAACATGTAGAGCTGTGTTTAGACGCTAGCCAGTCGCTTTACCACCTAGCTTTATTTTCCGTCGATATGTACATCTGGGCGAATGTTACACAAGAATTTGTTGCTGCTGGGCAAAAAAGTTTCTTAATTTTTTTCCAAAGTCAAAGACTATCATATGTAAAAAATCACTTTTTTTCAAAATCAGAAATTATCATGGTAACCAAAGTTACTTCACCAGTCCTTCATCATGTCACCCAGTAAAAAAAATTAGGTTTCAAAATTAGGGAAAAGTAAAGAAAAATATGTATAAATGTAAAAATTTAGATGGTTGAGAATCAAGCCAACAAGAATGAGAAAACTATCACCTGCACAGGATAAACCAAAGTTGAAAGAGATGTAACACTCGCCCATACGTTACACAGTGACGGAGCGTAGAAAAAGTGAATAATCGGTGGGTCGGAAGTATCATAGTAACCAAGGTTTCAGTTAGGAGTTCCTTCATCAAATTATCCAGTCAAAGTCCTCGGATATTTCTAGATAAGGAAATGATAATGACAAAAAGAGATGAGTGTTGAAGTGTTTAAAATAAACTCGATACTGGTTACTTTTTTTCAACAAGAACACGCTACTCGACACGAGAAAACATTTTTAATACATATTGTGTTACAGACAAAAAAAGTTCGTCGAAAGTTGTTTTGTCAATTATTGTGCCGAGTATGCAAGCGGCTTTCGCAATCTGTCTTGTCAGGATAATTTCTTGTTAAGACAACTACCTGCCCTAGGTTCTTCGGTACACGTGTACAATTTTTTTTAGAGCTTATTCAGAAAACTCTCAGTGCTAGGGCCAACGGCATCCTGAACTTCAAAAGCTTTTGTTCCATCATTAATTATATCCATCATTAATTAATTCTCTTTATTTGTCAGATTATCAATCTTCCGACTCGGCCGCGGCCGCTCCAGGATTACAAACCGGGCCTGCGCTTATTCAACTTGTGGCTAGGGAGTCAACTACCGTTACATCCCACAGAAGCTGCCTACCAACAGCCCATGGGACGAGCGTCAAACCGTCTAGTCGCTTCTGATCTGTCCTGTGAAGCGGTCGTGGCTCTAAAACAGAAAGAATGTGAGCGGTTTTGAGACTTTGCTTTATAATGGCATTCAAATTTGAATGCCTACAGAATCTCCCTGCCTTTTTGAGAGAACATAGGCCAGGCCATCCATCTTCGGTTACATCTTTTCCGCAAACGCACCTATATATTTTTTTTACAAATGTTTGAACCTAGGCGGAGTCCAATTGAAATTCTAAGCAGCTGATTCGACAATTTCAATCATAGATTTTTACACGGTATGACATTTAACCATTGCGATCCGAACTTACCCTGGTAAGCCTTGAGCCTTTTTACACCTAGTTTCTAGATTCAAAATTATTTGAGACATTTTTTATCGAAAATTGGCCCTTCCATTTTTTTGAATTTCATTTTCTGGAGCTACTTCACATTTTTTTGATTCGAATCAAAGTTCTGATGCATCATTATATGTTCCATCCTCGTGCTCCAAACCAAAAAATCTTACTTAAGTTAGCTTTCGTTCTTACTGCTGAGGCTAAAAAAGCGGGTAAGGCTAGTAGGCGTACCCAAGCCACCTTTGGCTGCCGGGAGAACCGCTTGCAAAAGTTGGCTACCATTCATTTTTACATTTTTTACCTTACATCAATAATTTCTTAAAACTCGAACTTATTTTCCAAGAAATAATTTTGCATAAAACAAGGAATTGTACGCAAAAAGTCTACGCAACAAGGAGTTTCGGCATGCTAAAGCAATTTTTAGGAGATAAAAAACATAATGTGCATCCAGCTTATCAATAAAATCCGAAATTTTATTCCAACTCAGCTATTTTTTCATATAGCAATTCTTTTCGACAGGATTCACCTATAGGGGAGCCCATGATTACATTTTCTTCCTTGGATTTTATTTATTTTTATTTTGGATAGAACTTCTGCAATTGACTTATAGTTGTATTGTATTGCCTACTTGTGGTCTTCCAAGAAAGCAGAGCTTACGTTTTTCTGTGTTTAAGAATGTGAGCGGTTTTGAGACTTTGCTTTATAATGGCATTCAAATTTGAATGCCTACAGAATCTCCCTGCCTTTTTGAGAGAACATAGGCCAGGCCATCCATCTTCGGTTACATCTTTTCCGCAAACGCACCTATATATTTTTTTTACAAATGTTTGAACCTAGGCGGAGTCCAATTGAAATTCTAAGCAGCTGATTCGACAATTTCAATCATAGATTTTTACACGGTATGACATTTAACCATTGCGATCCGAACTTACCCTGGTAAGCCTTGAGCCTTTTTACACCTAGTTTCTAGATTCAAAATTATTTGAGACATTTTTTATCGAAAATTGGCCCTTCCATTTTTTTGAATTTCATTTTCTGGAGCTACTTCACATTTTTTTGATTCGAATCAAAGTTCTGATGCATCATTATATGTTCCATCCTCGTGCTCCAAACCAAAAAATCTTACTTAAGTTAGCTTTCGTTCTTACTGCTGAGGCTAAAAAAGCGGGTAAGGCTAGTAGGCGTACCCAAGCCACCTTTGGCTGCCGGGAGAACCGCTTGCAAAAGTTGGCTACCATTCATTTTTACATTTTTTACCTTACATCAATAATTTCTTAAAACTCGAACTTATTTTCCAAGAAATAATTTTGCATAAAACAAGGAATTGTACGCAAAAAGTCTACGCAACAAGGAGTTTCGGCATGCTAAAGCAATTTTTAGGAGATAAAAAACATAATGTGCATCCAGCTTATCAATAAAATCCGAAATTTTATTCCAACTCAGCTATTTTTTCATATAGCAATTCTTTTCGACAGGATTCACCTATAGGGGAGCCCATGATTACATTTTCTTCCTTGGATTTTATTTATTTTTATTTTGGATAGAACTTCTGCAATTGACTTATAGTTGTATTGTATTGCCTACTTGTGGTCTTCCAAGAAAGCAGAGCTTACGTTTTTCTGTGTTTAGGCTTAACCCTCAGTCTTTTTCTGATTTCAGTATTTTATTTTAAGGTCTCGGAGCACTATCTTGTAGTCGTCAGCCTGGTTTCCATCATCTAAATGCTAAACGTTTAATTTGGATTCAAGCCTTTTTACTAGCGTCTGTATTGTTTCAGCAAAAAGCGGCGGAGCCTCGAGATCACCTTGTTGTGTTCCGTCATCTGACATAATGATGGAGTTTCCATAAAAAAGATAACTTGGTTTACGGTACGCGCAATGATTATATTTGTGCAACTCCGGGAGGTCCGAAAAAACGTGATTCACGTGATTAAACATAGTTTCTCTATGAAGCGAATTAAATGCATTACTAAAATCTAATTTGAGTAAAATTGAGCACTTCGTGTTGTCAACACGCTCTATCGAATTTCTAAAGGAGTGTGCAGCGATTCAGCTCCTCGTTTAGTACCACATTCTAGTTGAAAACTTCCAAAAAAATGTTGTCGCTCTGCGAGAACCTTGCGTTGCGTCTGAGCGTGTTGCCGATTGCAATTGGTCGCAAACCTCCGTCTAATTTTACGATGGCGATAAGTTTTGCTCCAAAAAAAACTTCTTTGCTGTTCTGGTACTTTACCTCCACCTATAAGATTTAGGAAAGTAGTAGGCGATTTTAAGAAACTGAGTTGAGAAATAGCTCTTTGATTTACTAATAAGGTCTTTAAAATCTTGGGGAAAAATTTTGTTCGGACCGGCTCCATTTGGAAAAAACATCATTGCTTTGTACACCTCGGGCTCATTTATGAAAAAACTATCGATGCTCTCCGGGATTGGGTCATTTTTACAGCTCTTTTTGGGTGTTTAGATACCAATTTTCTATAGTAAGGAATCAAAAAAGGTGGGATCTTGTTATCTGATGAAGACATGCTTATTTTTCTCTTTGCATTTATTCATCGAGCTTGCTACTGATTAGCCTTATTCTCGGCTCGAGATCTTTCTGGGGCGGGCTTGACCCTTGAGGAAGAGGTTTAGACAGTGAAAAAAAATTGGCTCTAATTTTTGTTGTTTAATATAGAACTCATGACTGTCGTTTGTTTACGACCACTTCTCTTGGGTTGTTCAAGAAAAAACAAGGAAAACGTCAAGAAACCAGTCAAGAAGTATCATTTTCTACATTGCAGAAAATATCACTCATTGTATCCAAAAGATTATCTGACAAGGGAACACGCAAGTCCTTAGGTATTCTCTTGAGCACTCGAATTTTAGAAATGGCTGTATTTACATAATAATCCAGCAAAAAGTCATCACCAATTGAAGCATTATTGACAGATTACAGACTACCATATAGGACCTTGAAATCATTGATTTTTCTTGGAGTCGCTAAGAGTTTTTTCACACAATTGATATGATAACAGTTAGAACAACAATCACATCTTATCCAATTTCAAAGTCCTGAAGATTTTAAGCATTCTTTGCTTGTAAACTTCTTGTTGTTTATCCTCATCTTGATGGCGCGACGTAATGTTAAAAAAGGACATATGATTGGACACAAGAGAACTGAACCAACCCAGAATAACAGGGTTGGAATTTTATAGATGAAGAGAAAACTATTACAAGATTTACAAAAAAAATTAAAAAATCTATAAAACTTGCTGAAAAGGAACAATCTCACCCAAGCTCAGAAGGTCTAGCGGCGCACCACAAGACTCCTCAGGCCAGGAACTCCTTCGCCCGGACCAGACAAATGCTTGACAGACCTGTCTGTAAAATTCCTCAAAGGGCGCTCGACGAACATGCACAAACATCAAGCCTATCACTTCAATTTAATAAGTTTAACCCAAAAATTAGGCTAAAAATACCTATGAGCCTAAAAATACAACAATTAGGCAAAAGTACCTATTGATGACTGGCTGGCTTCAGTTACCTTAATTCTACTCGTTTTTAATCGTCTTGATCTAGCCAGTTATTTTTCTGATCTCTTAATGGCTAAGTAACAAGTTACCATTATTAGGCCATCAGCCAAACGACTTTTGATCAGCTGCTTTCGTTTACATGCGGAAGTAACCAAATAACTGGGTCTCGCATCCCCAGACAACGCGATCAATTTCAAAAACACGGCTAGAAAACTAAATTTAGTAAGTTTTTATTGAAAGTTTTATAATAAATCCATTAGAGATGAGTTGACTCTTTCCTCTATTCTAACTACTCATGCTCTGAAACACTAAGCAAATTTGGAGTTAATGAAATATATTCAGGGCATTACAGTAGCTAAAATGTATATTCGAAGTCTTTCACAGTCTCTGGGCACCGGGCCTCTAACTCCGTACTCTCCCAGAGATAACGTCGCGATCTCTCTGATTTCCTGGCACGGGATGGTTTCGATCCGTCCCTAATGTCCCACTGGAACTTCCTTCAATGCAATCTTTTTCAGATAAGCGCCTCATCGTGTCTTGCTATCACGATAAAGGGCGTCGTTTTTCTCTTTTTCTCTTATCTTCTTCGATTGCTTTTTGAATGTAATCTGATTGCTGTTTAGGTTTGAACCCAGCATTAACTCTTTCAGGTAATTCTGCATGGCTTGCTTATCATGCCATGCCATCAAATGTCCTCTCGCGGAATTCCTCGCCTTCAATATTTCCACATAGCCACCAACAGGATCGCCCATATGGACTGACGCGGGCACAGTGATGCGGCTGTACTCGACCACGTCGAGCTGTCCCTCCAGTTTCATCTTCGCTATGTTCGTCCGGGATGACTTGAAGCCTTCCAGCCCACCGGATCCACACTGGCTGATAACCTCCATTTCCAGCCTGGTGTCTGCCAGGGTCCTCTCGTTCTTCCTCGCTTTTGAGGCTGTGGATATCAGTCCTGCTAACAACATTGGTGGCACCTGGTTCTCCTTCTATCTGCCGCCAAGCGTGGAACCATCCCCTTTTCCATTCTCATTCGGCCGCTTTCGTCTTCACAACCTTCGAGTCGGTCACTTTGTCGTTTAATCTGCTTTTGCGCTTTCTCACCATAGACTTGTCTTTCCTCAGCCCCTTCTTGATTTTTTTTAAAGGCTGGTCTCGCACAACCGGCTCTCCTCGGCGCTTTCTTCCGTGACTGACTCGGTCAGACTATCAGACTCAGTGGGCTCCATCATTTTTCCCAGTAAATCACGCATGATGGGCTGATTCAATCCCACTCCCATAACGGGTTGAGTGCTGTATCTCCAGATGATGTCCCAGGTGCTTTCCATGAAAGCTACCCGAGTCCACACTTCTCCAGTCTTCCTCTTAAATCCGCATTGATACCGTTCCCATTCTTCCGCTGGCAACTTGCTCAGGAAAGCCACTCGCAATGACTCATCAAACCTCCGCCTTCGTTGTTGTGCCTCCATTAATGACAATGGCTCCACGGGGGACACGCTAGCTGAGGGTTCTTTGGTGGGCGACAGAAATGACGATGGCGTCATCAGTATTAGTGTTTCATTCGCTCCACCATGTTCCGCTTCATTAAAATCATATTTCAAGAGATCTCTCTCCAAGGCACCCAGGTCGGTTCCGCTGAATTTGTCACCTTTGCCCTCCATGGGATCATGTTCTCCTTGGTGTTCTTTCTTTGCGTCTTCACCTTTTCCCTCGTAATATGGCTTGGCGCTCATCAATTCCTGAGTCCGGCCGAGCCGGTATCAGCAGGTCACCCATCTGGTAAAACACCTCGTCATTTTTGACAATTACTATAGGTTCCTCACCATGCGGCGCCATTTCCTCTATTGACAGATAGATGTCTCACCTCGACTCTTTTGCCACTTCCAGCACCACCACCGTCTCTCGCCTGGGCAACCTCAATCTAGACCGATCGTCATCTGTCAAGTGCACATCGTTCCACCTCGGGTTTCTTGAATGGTATAGCTTTAATCTTCTACTGACTTCATATGTCAGGGAAGGTGAAATCAAAAGTTTGCAGGGGCTGCAGCGTTCCAACTATTGAAGAGCGGCTCCATCCCCTCACTCCACTTTAACATCTCGCATCCACGTCCTGCGCGGCTCCAATCCTCAGTGGATACAGGGCACTTATTTGGCAGAGGGCTTGAAAAACTCCTCCTGATGTTTCTTCAAATGAGCATATGACTCCGGCCAAGCCGGGAAATCGCCGCGTCCTTCGTGCCCTTGACAACTGGTCGTAAATTCCAGAGCTTAGGATTGAACTGGACGTTTGAACGATCTTCACCTCCCATTCGACTTCTAAAGCTGTTATTGAAATCCATCAGCGTTCAGCCAGGCTCCGCTATCCTTCCAAATAGTCTGTCCTCGCTCGCCAGTCTTCTCAGTTCCCGTTGATCCACCCAATTCAGCACCGAGCAATCTTCTACTGATACAAGGTTAACATTCAGGACCGAGTGTCTGTTCGCCTTCCTTTGCATGTCTGAAAACACTTACGTTACTGTAATCACATAAGTCACTGTGACGAACTCTCTCAACGCAAAGATCAAAGCTAACGGATCGATCCGCATCATGAGGGTTAGATCAGTTAATAGGGGCATGCCCCACACCTTCTCCGTTCGCTTTCATCGGAGGCAGGTTTATCCTCCCCAGTTAGGCTTCTGTTTTGTTGCAGCAGACATTGAAGGAGCAGGGTCCTTCAATCCTTCACCTTTCGGTAGGATGCCCTCTCCATCTGCTCGTCAAACTCTCTCCTCGATCCGGATATGTCAGCAAAACGAATAGGTCACCCAATCGAACATATGTCAATCACCATCAGTGTGAGAAGGCCATCCAACCGGAGGTCGTTCAGTTCTTGAGTAACGGGTTCCTTCACAAAGCTCTCATGTCTAAAGGTTTCGTATAGTGCCAGCACATGTCAATAGATAACTTTCTGATATCTCTCACAAAGTTAGCTATAAAGTGTCTCGAAGCCCTGGGATAGCAACTGCTGAGGAACGCGGGTGACCCCATGCCCATCCCCGCGAGGATCGCATCGGACCTCTCGCATTCGGCTCTCATTGCCAGCACGTCCGCCTGGAGCCACTCCAAGGACATCGTGTTCATCTACAGCATCAATTGTAACTTGGTTGCGCCTGCCTCTTCTCTAGCGTCTAGGATGGTCTCTAAATACTGGTGAATTTCCCTCACTACCGCTGGGGCATACTCAAAGGCGTCTTGTCCCAGCGTGCATAGTCGTGGGGACAGATGCAGTCAGGGATTGGTATGAGGCTTCGTCCTCAAAGCGACAGCTTTAAGGTCCTCTTCCGTGGAAGTAGTGCTCCTTCTTACCATAGTCCCTATTTCAACCTTCACGTAATCTGTCTGCCTGAATCATAGGTTGTTTGCCAGTCGCTGCACTAACTCGTGCTCGTCACTCACCCCTGCGCTCATTTTCAACAGTCGGCCAAAAATTGAAAGTTTCAATCCCAACGCCTCATCCAGCACAACACGCGTCGTTCTGTGGTCCTTAAATCCTTGGATCGCGTTCAATACGTCCCGTGTATAGAGGTCCCATTGTGTTATTCCTGGGCAAAAACTCAAGATCCACCAGCCTCGAGGTGGTGGCAAAACTGAATTGCTCCTCTTCCGTCAAGAGCCAATCCAAGCCTGATATCGGTATAATCTGGATACCGTAGGATCGTGACCGTTGAGCATTTTCACCGCGTCCGGACGACACGTCAGCGTGTTCATGAAAAGTTTCATTGCCATGTCCGCCATGTATCGTCCCGACTGGCTGGGGTCTGGTCTAATTCACAATAATTCACTGACCCTATCGGTATTGATAATCACTGCAGGGTCTGCTTGCGAGTTTCCCCGAGCCGCTAGTGCCCTTGCCGACTGACTCACTGCGCCTGTGATACTTGGGTTACTTTGGGAGCTACCTGTTACAGACCATTTCTAGTTCCAAGTCGGTTCTCCAAAGATCGGCCTCCTGGAGTGGGGACAGTACCGAATCTCTCTCTCACATCCGAGCTGGGAGTGGGCTGTGCAACATTTGCTTTCGTCGCCAGACAATTCGCTAGTTGTTGAGGCACACAAGACATTAATTTGCCAGCAGGGCTACCACGTGTCACAGGGTTGACCACCGTCCGCAACTCTGCCTCCATTTCTTTTATCTTTGTCTGGAAGGCGTCATTAATCCCTTGTCTAACCTACTGGGTATTATGATGTATCCCATCTCTCGTCAGGGCCGTGTGGTCTACCATTCGCAATGCGCACTCGATGTCCGTCAACCTGAGTTCATTGGAAATTTCGGCACTGAAATTCCTGACCGTCGTGTTCCATTGGGTCACGCTGCCGTTCATGAAGTCGGCTATCGGTGAGCCGGTGTCTGGATTTAGAGGCATGGTACAAAAGGCCACTAGCCTTGGTCTATACTACTCTTTCAATTCATTGAGGAGACGTACCAGCAGCGGTTCCCATTTCGGCTCGAGGGTGACTGGGTTTCTGGAAACGTCATTCGTTCCTATCACCAGGATTAGTGTAACCACCCGTTCATCGTTTTGTAGCTCCATCATCTTGATCACTTGAGCCACCGAGGCTCCACCAAATGAGATTGCAGTAAGTTGGTCCACCACAGGGATCTCTGTCAAATCATTCACTAGGCAGTCTCCGATAATCAGGTGTTGCCTGCCCGTCGGTACCGGTTGGTTGATCGTTGCCAAGTTCGCGCTCATGCCGTTCAAACAAGCCCTTGGGTGTTTTGCCGCGAGCTGAATGAAGATCTTCCGAGTGTTGAGATCCTTTCTAATGTCGACCAATCGCGACCTCACTTTGGTTCCACTCGGTACCGGACCGGCCGCTTCTGTATGATCTGCCATCCTCTCTCTCCTGATGGGTGACTGGCATGCGCGTTGGGCAGGAAG